CACCAAACTGCGATTTTTCTTACGAACCCATCACAATCGCCCACTCTTCGCCTCTTCTGCCCGCCACTCCGTCAGCACCCTCTGGTGGCCTCAGGCTCTTCATTAAATCCTGATTTCCTAGGCTCTCACACACACACACACACATATATATATATATATATATATATATATATATATATATGTTTAAATATACACACCCATTATTCATTAATAATCGTGAAAGGGTTGATACTTTTGGAATAGCTGCAAGACATTGAACTGCCCACAAATCTTTGTCCAGGAGAGGCAAATGTGCCAATGGCTGTATTGCTGCTTGGCTTTTAATCTGACGCTTGGTCGCTCCTCTCCAACTGATTTTCACCGTTGTCCTAGCAACGCGAGAGTTTAAATCAATATCCTGTCTGGTGGACAAGGCAAGACTACTGCTGCTGGTGTCAAGTAGCATGCCCTGCGACCCCCAAACCAGTTTTCCCTTCCACGCATTCTCGGGCTTGCTGGGTGGGTTGACTTTTGCGGTTCCGGTTTAAGCTCGCTTCTCAACTTTGTCGAGTCGTTCGTCAGTCTTGTTCGTTTGTCCTTCTGCCCGGTACCGTCGACAGACACACCCTCACGCATTGTCGACATCGAAACGGCAATTTTCTGCTCAACGGTTGCGTCATTTCTCTTCCCGCCTCGACTGACACCTTATCCTAGTGACAGAATTGTTTGGAGCCAATTGACAAATTAGATGGGATTACGTTAGTTACTGTCAGAAAAGAGGTTAATCTGTCAATTCTGGACGTTCTGCTGAGCAAACAAGGCAATAAGTTGGATAGAGATGTATGTAGAAAACACACACTTGTGGGTTTCCTTGACAACATTTTGTCTAACTATACAAATGGTGTCAAAGTAGAAATTGTGAACTCGATTATAACAAGTAGTCCGAGTCTGGCAGGAAATCAGTAGATTCTGGAATATATTAATTTAACAGAATAATTAAATTTCAATTCTTAAAAATAAAATTACAAGAAATAGCCATTTAGGCCAAAATAGGCAGATTGATCATTTTTCTCGGTTCCCGATTCTGCCATCCTGTCGACTTGAATGGCTTCGAATATGTTTAAGACTGTCACACTTCGCATGGTTTGGACTTGCATGCACACAATACACACACAACCACATACGTAAAAGCAGCAGGAAAATCATACGTTTGATTGGCTAGGCAACGGAACAGTTGACTCATTGGGAT